GTTATCGGTGTTTGCACCAAGCTGCGAGAAGAGACGTTCACGTTCGGATGATGTCGTTTCAAGCGCGTTAACGAGTTAGACGTGTTGCTGCTGCAGATCCGATCTCCGGGAAACAACGTCGACACACAGCTTTGGATTTGTTCGCTTGTCTTTTAACAACAACGCCATGATGTTCCCAAACAGGAGACCGCAACGAGATGCTAGGCTGCTAATGGTAATGGTGCATATTACTCCAGTTCTGTCCTCCCTTCACTGGCTCCCTGTTCGTACGAGGATAGTTTTTAAAATTCTTCTGTTGACCTTCAAATGCCTAAATGGCCTCGCACCCCTTTACCTCTCTGAGCTTCTGGAACCTTACGTTCCCTCTCGGGCCCTGAGATCAGCTGCTTTTGGCTGTTCCAAAAACAAGACTGAAGCTCAGAGGAGATCGGGCTTTTTCAGTCATGGGCCCCAAACTGTGGAACAACCTGCCCCCCAACATCAGGCAGGCCACCTCCCTTCCTCACATCAAATCCCTGCTTAAAACACATCTGTTCTCTCAGGCATTTCACACAGTGTAAATTGATCTAGTGTTTTTTTAATCTGTGACCCTATGTTTTAAATGCTTTTTATTAATTCTTCAGTTATTATTGTTAGTGTATTGTGTATAAATATATATATATATATATATATATATATATATATATATGCTTATATATTTTTCTCTTTAATTTACTCATTGATTGTTGTTGTTGTTAAGCACTTTGATAACGGGTTCTGTTTTAAATGTGCTCTATAAATAAAGCGGACTTGACTTAATGCTGCGCGTGCTGCAAGTTAATAGAGCCGTGCTGAAACACGCTTAGGAACGTTAGTTCCGTGGCGCAAAATCTCTTCGTTAATAAAATTTTAATAAGTGAGAAAATAACTGAAACAGTTCAGTACACCCACGCGTACCGTTACACCCCTAATTAATAGAGAAGCAGCTTTGATCGCTAAAGACACGGTCCCAGTCTCAACTGTGGAACAAGACAGCTAAAGTTAGCCGTCTTGTTAGCCGCTAAGGACCGTGTCTTTAGTGATATGATAAGCTGCTGATTTATTAATGTCGCGCCACCCCTCACTGTAAGACTTGAAAATCTGTGTACAGCAGTTCTTCTTTTTCTGCCCGTCCAACTTCACGCGGTCCCTCCTTCTCCCTCACGTGCTGCTTCACACACGCTTACTAACGTCGTGAAGGCGACAGATGGAGAGGATTATTATTTAATATATGTAAATAAATGTCTAAAAACCAAATGTTAATATATGTAAATAGTTCTTTTTTTTTTTTAGACATTTATTTTGTAGTTAATAATTGTGCCTGTGTGACAATGTGGGACAAAGCTTTGACTCAGAAATATATTTTTGTTATCTATGGAAAGAAAAAATATTGAGATATATATATCGTATATCGCGATCTATCTTAAAAAAATATTGAGATATATATATATATCGTATATCGCGATTTATCTTAAACAAATAGAGATATATATCGTATATCAAGATTTATCTTTAAAAAATATCGATATATATATCGTATACCGCGATTTATCTTAAAAAAAATTTGATGTGTATACATATATATATATCGCAATTTATCTTTAAAAAAACATCGATATATATATCGTATATTGCGATTTATCTGGTCCATATCGCCCAGCCCTAATATCAGTACACGTTACTGTTGAAAATTAATTAAAAAAAAGGCAAAAGGTAAATGCGAGATTGAATAAACCAGACATAATTTGTTCTGCTGCTGTTAATTCTTTCATAAGTAGTTGGGAGATAAAAGAAACTCAAGGTGCTGAGGAGGAACAGAGAGGACTGTTTTATTTTAATCTGATGAAAAAAAGGTTCAAAACCTTTTTATTACCACAGACAGTTACACAGAACAAACTCATAAAAAGTCTGATGTGTTCGATAAACACAAGTAACTGAGTGTAACTTAGAAATAGAACAAATAGACTCTTACCTTGGAGTGTCTTGGTTTGAGTGTGTCGGTGTCTCATTCAGCTCAAGCTCACTATAGATCACAGTGAATACACAAACACTTATCAGTCGATTGAGACATTACTGAGAAACAACATGGACAAGTTGAAGTAAATACCTGTTGTGAGTGTGGTTTCTGTGTCTGTAGTAGGTAAAGAGGAATACAAAGGTTGCCAAAAACACACATAATGAGACGATAAAACTCCATCCTGTGAAGAAACCACAACAAAAAGTAGATGTTCACCTCAACCAATATATTTTAGAGAGAATGACATAAAGCAAGTGGATAAGAACTTACTGTAGCGTGTCTGATCTGACTCCGAATTTTTCTCCAACTCTGACAAGTAAAACGTTGAACATTAGTATAAAAACGATTCATCCGATAATCAGAAACTTGGAAACAGTTCCTCACCATCATCAGCCGTCGTCGGTCTGAGCTTAGCGATCCTCTTCACCACCTCCACCTGAGGACCAGAGTCCACTCTGGCTGCACATCCAACCTGTATGTATGTATCCTGAAAGCTGTCGTCATGGAGACCTGACAGCACAGCTGTGGTGGTGACAGTGACTGTATTGTTGGTGTTGGTGACTGTGACGGTGTAGATGAACAGATGCTGGGATGTATTCATCATTTAACGCGAGTTCCTCATTTTTCTGGACTGAATAAAACGTGCATTGAATTTAAGGAAATGCAAACGTGAGACGTCATTTAGATTTGACCCATCAAAATGAATGCGGTCATTTATTTACAGAATCAAATTTAACATCAAACATGTACATTAATTTGGCAAATTATGAAAATAACAACAAAGCAATCAATCAGGAAAAATCATACGGCCATGATTTTTCCGTTGCTGCACCACAGACATGTATAAAACTGTACAACTATGACTTTTACCCACACGGATGTGAATAAGCACTTTACACAGACATTTCTAAATATCTGGGAGAATTTCTACTTCATAGGAAAGTTTAAAGATGGAAAGAAGTTTAGGGGGAGTAAAGGATGGTGTGTGAGGGAAATTAAGTGTTTTCCAGAACCGACACTCTCCATCAGAAGCCCAGCTCGCCTCGGTACGCTTGGTAGGAAACTTGACCCATTACCTCTCTGATGATAATCAGCAGATATGGTGTTCCGTTAACGCTACCGGTCCAGCGTCTCCTTAGAATGGCTGTTGCCCGTCAGAAGTAGTGGCGAGGCTCTGTTCGACACACCTTCACCTCAGTGGAAAATGTTATAATCCCATGGAACTCGGAAGAGCTTCGTTGTCATGTCAGGAACTCCAACAGCACTCCATCAGAACTCCAGAACTCTAGAAGTCTGACAACTCTCCAACTCTGAGTACCTGTGTGTCTCTCCGTGTCCCTGTGAGTCTGTGTAGACCAGGAAGTACTGACATTTTAAAGACTCTTTCCCGGTTCACTTTTTGGGATTTTTCATTGGTCAGAAACGACCAGAAGGGGTGTGTTTTTGTGACGTAAGAGGTTAGAGACAGCGAGAATTGTTATGAGACAGCTCAGAAATGTTCTCACAGACCGAGAGGGTTCTGTTTTGGCGTGCCTTAAGAAACAGGTGCAAAACATCTCTATTTACGTCTGAGAGGATTCTAAAACATGACAGTTTTAACATAACAACTTGTTTTTCGTTTGAGTCCAACCTTGGAACGCACACACTTGCTCATTCAAAAGCAGAAATCAGAAAAATGCATAAACTCTGCACAGCTTTTAACATGAGAATAAAATCATTACTCAGTTAATAAAATTGATTAGTTCACTGCAACATCTAAAATGGTTTGAACTAAGACACTTTGATTATCAACATTTGTAAGATAGTAATGATAATAAAAAGAGAGTGTTCTTTTCACTTGAATCTTCAAGAAAGAAAGTGGTCTGGATGGTTGAAACTGGCCACAGATCAGGCACCCTTTTATGTAGTCCTTGACATCCTTTTTCATTCCAGGCCAATAAGCAATCTGTTTTAATGCTTTCAGCGTGGCATTGTCACCCTTATGTCCTGCGGACGGAAGGTCATGTGCATGGACTAACATCACCCCCCTGTGGTCATGGGGGACCACGAACACAGGTGAGGACGTCCGTCCATGAGCAAAAGTTAGGATGCCCTTGAGTAGTTTTAGCTGTTTGCGCAGCTGAAAGAGGACTTTGAGGTCTGGATTGGAATCCAGCTCGTCTTTCGATGGAGTGTATTTGTCTGGGTCAGTCAGATACAGCATCATCGAGTTAATTGCAGGATCCAACTTCTGAAGTTGGATGATGTCTGGGTCAGTCAGCATTGGGCGCACAGAAACTGTGTTATCAGCAGGTTTAGCTGCAGCTTGTGCACGTGTGACTGCCATTACCTCAGTTGTAGCTTGTGACGACTGAGTGTTGAGTAGCCAGGAGGGGTCGAAGGACCACGTGGGTCCGTCA